ATGGAATGGAAAATGTTTGGGAATTGGGGATTAATTATTTGATTAATGGAATGGGTATTATTTTGGACCTAAAATTATATATGTTAGTGGGCTACAAATTAAAGATTTTTTTTAAGTGGGCTAGCCCACTGAATTTATTTGTTAGTGGGCTAATGTGGTTAAATAATTACAATTCAAACCCAATTTTCCTTTTTTTTTTCTTTTTTTTTTTTTTTTTTTTTTTTTTTTGTATCTAGGCTTAGAAGACAGTGGGCTGCAGCCAAGTGCAACCATGATCTCATGGAAACTGGTTCGCGATGTGGAGAGAGAGAGGCAGTGGCGGGATGGGCGAAGGTGGCATAGATGAGGCATATTCATAACACCAATGACCATACTCTAAACAATTAAAATAATTGTCACGATCCCACGTGAGATTAGGAGTTAAACGATTCAGGGTTAATTCCATTCGTGCTTTTTCAGTTCTGATCCCAATTTATACGATTTGAATCTTCTAAGAAGCATGATAATTTTGGGGCCAAAAGGACATTCTTCAGTTCAGTTGTATACCGTGTGGGCTTTCCCTTCCCTTAAGAACCTGAGTGAATATTTGGTGTATCACTAGAAATTTTGAGGTCCTCAATATAATTGGATTTAGCAAGATCATTTGCATCTCCAAGGAAATGAAGATCCACAGGGCTAGGTTTATATGGCTGGTTGTGATCCGATAAAACTCTTCAGTCAGTTACTATCAAGGTGCCTTCTTGTTCTCCACTTTCTACGACACAGTTTCTTTCGATTACTGATGCCTTCATGCCATTGATGGCACGTTAAGATGACTCGCCCAAATTGTAAAGGCATCTCCAGTTGAAACAATACAGTTGCTGCAGCTTTTAGAGATTAAGCCCCCGTTTGTTTTCCATTTTTTCTTCATTAAAATGGAAAATATGACCGTTATCCATTATATTAAACCACTAAATTTGAATTTCTATCTTTTGTGTGGGATCCATAACGACTATATTTTTCATTCTAATTTTTACATTAATGTGTACCAAACGGGGCGTAAGTTACCACTCTGAATGTTTTAGTCTCTAAAATATGTAGTTGAGAGGAAGACATTAGTTAAAATCTTAAAGAAAAATTCCAGTCCACCTAAATTTGCAGTGCAGACAGTTGATGAAGCATAAGGAATATAATAAAGATTTATGAAATAAAATTACATAGATCATCTTCATTGTCAGTCACATGATATTAGATCCATTTTTGCGATATGTGACTGATATTTTCCTGATAAATTTGCTTTTCGGATACAGATAGTTCATGATAAATAAGTGTCAAAGTAGGAACGGGCAAATATAAATAAATTTTAGTGATAAATAAGTGACGAAGGTGAACGATCAATTGTAAGCAAAACTTTTTTAGTACTTGATGTTGTACGTATGACCTTTTAATTTTGATTGATTTGCAAATAGCAACGTTCACGTAATGAGTCTAATAACTAGGTGGAGTTACCCGTCATCATCAATTTATGCTAGCAATCTAAAGACAAGGTTGACATAAATAGCAAACATTTTTTGGGGGGTGGGGGGGGGATCCTCAGAATAAGCATGATCATGAGCATTTTTGTGTTATTAGACAGATAGAATATAACTTTTAAAAGTTAAAGCAACTTCGTGCTCATGAAGTAACTTAGAGGACCGAAAATTTTCTAACTAACAAGCTAATTTGACTTCAATATTGGAACCCCTCAATGTTATCATTGACAATAATCATGTCATCGATACATATATATATTAAGAAAGACTACGCATAGAAAATCGATGATAATTGCTGGGGTGAAAGCCAAGAGAGGCATTTTAATTGGAGTTCTCGAACCAAAGAAGGGTAGTACATTGAACATTTTCAACTTGGCACACTTTTTAAAGAATAGGTAGTATATAAGAATAAGATTACTTATACACTCAAATGTGTACACTTTGGTTGACACCTTCTATGTGTAAAAAATTTAACCATTGATTGAAAAAAGTCTTTTTAAGATCAATATATTCAAATTTGCCAACACACATGAGTGCAAATCAAAGTGTACAAATAGCATGGCTCAGTATGTAATGACCTTAAAAATCTCCATTTAAGAAGCTATTTGTGACATCAATATGAGAGAAGCGGTATTCACGAATTGAGTCATGATCGTCTAAGTGCACGTTTGACAAAGCTTATTATTATTATTTTTATATTGATCAAAGATGCTTTTCATCTTTGCATTTTTAGGACTCACAACTTACAATAACTCATTATTTACACATTCCGTAAGAATTATCAATTACTATCACTTATTGTTAATACAGTCAATACGATTTATAATTTTTACTTTTTTGATATTATTTTTAAGTGCATATAAGTAATGTGCCCTATAAAATAGAATAATGCTATTCATAGTGAAAAATATCAATAGTCGTTGTACATAGCACATATATGACAGCTTATTTTTTCAAATTTCAAATAAAATAAGGTGAATAATAAATTCAATTAAGTTTTGAGAAATCGCACTCCCTGCACATCCGTAAAATGCGAGAATAGTTGTGCACCGGGAGTGAGCGTTCTCCTCACATTTTCGTACAATTCTCTTCGATTGTTGATCATGGCGACAAACTGTAGAATCGCCATGACGTCGTTGATTATACTACAGGTGATTTCAACAGCCCCGCCTTCACTCGCTTACAGACCGGGAGATATCGTTCCTATGAGCCGCATGGGTCAATACCACTCTGTAATTCTATCTCCCCCTTTCACTTTCTCTCGTAGATATGTGAATGAATGTTATAATTGCTTAATTTATATGGTTCTGGAAATTGTGCAGACGAGGACGGTTTGGCACGATATGATCGGGAGGCATTGTCCAATCTTCGCTGTTAATCGCGAGGTAATCTTCTCATACCTTGTTTTTGTTCCATTGACTATAGTCTAGGGTTGTTTAGCTTTCAAAAAATTTTGTTCTGAATTTTAATCCCGACTTCTTTTGGGGTTTATAGACGTTGATTCCGATACCTAAACCCACTGGTTATACTGGAGCTGATCCATATAAAATGTGAGCCTCCAATTCCCTCTCAAAAAATGTTTTCCGTGTCGTTTTTTATTACTTTCAGTTTTATGACAGTTTCTATGTATGTTCCTAATTTATTTATTTTTATTTTGTGTATTTTTTTTTTTTTTTTTTTTTTTTTTTTTTTTTTTGTGGATTGGGGTAGAAATGAAGGAAAATGTAATGATTGAAGCTCAATTTGAAGATGAACTCACTCAAAACCAATACGAAATGAAAGATCATGGACCAAGGAAGCTGCACTCTTAGCTCAATTTCAGAAATAATCACGAATTGGAAAATGGGTGGCATAGAAATATAAGTAGAAAAAGAAAGATAGAAGAAGCATTAGAAACAGCAGAGAGAAATCCAGAAGAGAAGAGAAGATAGAATAACCAAATTTGGTTTTTACATCAACATACTGATTCATCTCACTCATCTGATTGTATATATGCTGTAACAATTAAAAAAAAATCGCATTCCAATTACAAGAAATGTAATAGACAAAATGAATAATGTTGTGTGTACAGGAGGCGTTTCACAGAGCCCCTCCAAAGCACATACAGCGGGGGATCCACCTCAAAAAAAATTTAACCCATCCCCCCCTATTGTGTGTGTTCTGGAGGGGTTCCATGAAAACCCCCTGTACACACAGCATTATTCAAGACAAAATAATGCTTAAATGCTAGGTGTGGACCCCACTCTATTCCCTTTTTAAAAAATAGTTATGTTTGGTTCTTTTCTTCATTTTTCCCCACTTCTTCGACTGAGTTGTTGCCTCCGCATCATGACAAAAAAATGAATGGAACATTTAAAAGTCTTGGAAAGGAAATTGAATTTTGAAGGAAGTTTTGGAAAATTAGTGCCTGTTTTTGAATTGGAGGTAGTAATGCTGCCAATTTAAATGCGAGGATGGCTATTTAGTTATGAGCTATGATGCTCGGATTTGGGTACGGGATATGTATTTAAGTGTCGGATCTTTTATTTTCTAAAATTTAGGATTCGGGGACATGGTTAAAAAGAATCCAAATTTCTGACACGGGTACATGGGTATGTCTATCAAGTTTCAGTTTTTCTTTTACTAACCCAAAATATCATTTTGAATAAACCAAAATTAAGGGTGTTCACAAAGAAGGAAAGAAGTATTGAATAAGAGGTTAAAACGAATAAAATAGAATTTTGAAGTTTAGTTTTCAATTATAGGAAATTAATTATTAAATGTTATATAAAATAGAAAATGAGGGATTTGATTGCAATTTGGACTTAGTGGAGCACTAAGTAGCATTATACGGAACCTATTTTCATTTATTACACGTAAAACCCTAAACTACTGCTACAGAGGAAATGAAGGAATAAAGGAAGAAAATGGAAAGAAAGAAGAAGAAGAGAAAATCTAACGTAGTCGCATTACTCTACCCTCTCGGAGGCAATGCTGGGTTTATAGAGTGGAAACAGGAAAGAAAAGGAAAAGAAAAAAGAAGAAGCAAAAAAAGGCGAAGTGTTCGGTTGTAACTTGAAGGATTCGACACATATCCCATACATATACCTATGTCGTGTTGTATCCGACACGAGTACTCCAACCATTTCGAAAAGTCCGAACATCAAAGGTTATGAGTTTTTTTAAATTTTGAATGAGGAGGAACCATCCTTTCACACATTTTGATTTCAATAGAACAGAGGTGATGAGGACATCCATTTGATTATTTTGGGTTTTATTATTTTGGACTATATTAAATTTGTATTTATGGCCTGACCCAAGCCCATAACTTTTTGGGGTTATCTATAAGTGGTTCGTATTGGAGATGGAAAGGCGGACAATGATTGGAAATTAATAGGCCTTTGCCTCACGTTTTCTTCTATACCCTTGTATTCTTCTTCTTCCCTTTTTTTTCTGCTTCTTCTCTTTCTTTTCCTGTTTTCTCCTCCTTTCTCTTCTTCTCCCCTGTTATCGCTTCTCTGTTTATTTGCTGCTACATCAAGAGGGAAGGGTATACCAATACTAATGTGGCATGTTGTGGTTGCAAAGAATTTAGGTGCTTTGTATCTTATCTAGTATTGAATTGAACAGAGTGGCAACAAGGTTTAGTGGAGAACACCTGAATTTTACTGAAAAGATGTAGTAATTTGTTGTTGTTGCGGAACCATTTTACCTTATATATATAAATTAATTATATGCAACAATGAGTACAAATGGGATGTTGAGGTAATCTTTTACTAGTTAATCCATTTTTTTTTTATTTTTTTTTCCTAAATTTTGAATGATTTTGCCAAATGTGTGAATGGCTACTCTTGTCACTTCATACTAAAAGATATATGACAGTTGTATTATTCTCTAGCAATCAGTTTTGACTTATTTTGTATAGGCTTCCTTCAAACATTTACGTCCATTAGAATATTTGAATTCTTTACTTTAATACTCTGAGGTGACCCCAAAAAGATGATACTGATCTAGACCATCTAGATCTTGAAATGGCTTTGGGCCATCTCTTCAACTCCTATTGTGGTAAAAGTCAAGTTTCTTTTGACTCATCTTGCAAGCCAATATATGGATGTGGACAATGAGTTTATACTGTGGAAAATTCTGAGCAGATACTAGTCAAATATACTTAAGAACTCTCTTTTATATCATTTTTAATGGTATGACGTTTCAAATGAAAACTTCCATTGGATTTTTCTTTTGATTAGTAAATGATTGTGATGCAGATCATTTCAAGTTGGAAGAGAAAAATTTTATATTCCGTGGCTTTTTGTGATTAACCGAAAGAATTCAGAGGTCCCAATGATTGAAATGCACTTGGTAAGTCCTGTGTTTGTACAGAAGAATGTTCATATCTTGAAATTGTTTCATTATCTTCAAAACTGCTTTGTGCAGCCTGGAATGAGGGCCTCAAATTGGAATGTCATTCAAATTTGAATTGACTTCATATGAACTGTCGGAACTTTTTAGACTTATCTACTTTTGGATATCAGCTTAGGAAGTTCCTGATTTCGTGCATTATATTTTTTTAATACTAGTGTGAGTTTATTAGGAGAGTTTTCCCTGTGAATGAGAAACTATTTTAAATATCTCACAGAGGTACTCCGGGGCTGATTTGCTTGGTGTCACTGCAAAAGTTATAGATATGCCTCACAGCTGTAAGTTATTCTTATTTATTTCTTAATCTCTCACATCTAGAAGTATTTAAACTCCCTGTTCATAGTTTGGAGATAAATGCTCACATGTATAAATCAGGCTAAGTTGATGTAGCCATTCTGACCTCTACCGCCTTGTGTATTTTTCTATGTCTAGCGTTTGTTTCTTGGGAATTCCCATCTGCAACATGTTGTAAACCAGCGGCTGCTATAACCAATAACTGTTTTTGTTTAAAATGGGTGTTAAGTATACATAGAAGATAAAATTTTCGTTAATTGTAAATTAAACAAAAAGAAGGATAATAACACCAAAAAGACTAATCAAAGAAGAAAAAAATTAAAAGTTACCTTCCCCTGAATCCCACCCTTTTCCCAAGAGTCCCCCAAGGATCCCCAACCCAACTTAACCCACCCCACCACCAACTACCCTCTCCACTCTCAATCCCCTTTTGTTTGTAAGGAATATTATTACAAAACAGATGCAGCAAATGGGTTTTGTGTTTGCTGAAATGAAGGCAATATTGGATGGAAGATCAGAACTTTCCAAACCAATCAAATTCCTTTCGAGCACCGTACGTATATTTTTCGGAGTTCTCCTTGCAATCGCATATCCACCAGCCACCTTCCCAAATCTCTTGTACGCAATAGCCTTCCCCTTCCATCTCCCCTATTTGCAGCGGCTTTCTTCTTCCCAATCCCATTGTTCGAGCTCCCAAAACATTGGTTCGCAGCTTTTACTCCTACAAAATCCCATGTTCTTGTCACCTCTTGGAAGATGATGTTTCCTGGAAACTGAAAGGACACAAATTTGACGCTTCCTTTTTCATTTTATTTTGTGGGTTTAGTGAAGCCTATACATGTATTTCCAAGCATTTGATTATACATCTTTGTAGTTAATTAATTCTCCTTCCTTCATCTTTTTCTTTCTCTTCTTTGGGCTTGGGGCACATGTAGAGTAATGGTGGCGCGGTGGTGGGGTAGGTCTTTTCTTCTTCCTTTTCTTTCCTTCCCTTCTTCCATTGCCTCTGTAGCAACGCTGAACGTCTGTGCTGGGCTAAGAAGCGTGAATTTGATATGCAATTGGAATGTACGGGTACATCAATACAGTTTTTTTAAAAATAAATTGGGATACGTGAATATGTGTATTAAAAGTTTTAATACACGTGTATTAAAAGTTTTAATACCATTATCTATTTTCGATAATAAAATTATAATTGTTAATTATTAATAAAATTTTACATGTACTAAAAGTTTTAAAAACTATTATCTATTATCAATAATAAAGCTATAGTTTTGTCAACTACAGACACAGTTTTATGTGTATGATAAGATATAATACTATTGTCTATTTTCAATAATAAAACTCTAGTTGTCAATCAATTTGAAATTCTAGTTGTCAATTAAATAATGCTTTATATGCTTTCAATAATAAGTTTGTAGTTACGTATTATCTTAAAATACGTTTACTTTTTTGGAAATTGTTACTTAATAAATATTATCTATCTTAAATAAGTTATTATGATAATAGTAGTTATTTATTAAGTAAAAATAATGGCAGCTATTGCCAATAATAGCGAGTTGTAAAAGAGTTTAAAACCAATAAAACTCTCATTCTTCACGTGCATAATGTGTTCGATAGGTATCGAAAATTTTAAAAATATAGGTATGTATTAGAGAGTATACGAGCATATCGAAGCCGAGATATGGATACGGGTATGCAATAAGCTTACAAGTATCCATGCTACTTACTTGTTGGGGTGTTGGGAGTAGAGAGGGGAGGGAGGAGGGTGGCCAAGGTCGTTAATAGGTGGTATAGTTACATGACATTAAAATGGACTATCTTTTGTGCTGAAATGCCTTTCAGAGGCTAAGATGGACTGGCAGTCATTTCAGCAAGGAAAAACATTTCCGTCATTCTTTCGTGTAAGACAAAGTTGCAAGCCTAAGTGCAATGGGAGCTTAGCATCAGAGCGACTAAGCGAAATAAGTAGATATCCCAGTTGGAGAGCTATCAAAGAAGACAAGCTTTATGGGCACAACAATTAGGAAACA